CGCAAAACTGCCGCTTGAAGAAATCCCCAAACTTAATATTTTTAAACTTCAAATAGAGCTCAGAATCTAGTCAGGCAATCAAGCCTTTGAATTAGGAGGCACTGAAAGACAGCAATTTGCTGCTCCCCACCCCCAAAGAGCAGCCCAGGAGCGCACAGCCTGCCCGCTGCCCCCAAACCTTCCGGGGCTTCAGGGGAAAGCAGAGGCTGTCGGCAGAGCAGCGTGGCTCCCCTCCCCACCCGCAAAGAGCAGCCCAGGAGCGTGCCGCACTCCGGCGAGTTGGCTCCAGGGACCACACATTCGCTCCATAAGACGCGCAGACATTTCCCCTTACTTTTTAGGAGGAAAAAAGTGCGTCTTACAGAGCGAAAAATACGGTAAGTCCACTCAAAGGTGACTATGGGGTTGTGGCGCTCATCTCGCTTTCAGGCCGAGGAAGCTGGTGTTTGTCCACAGACAGCTTTCTGGGTCATGTGGCCAGCATGACTAAACCGCTTCTGGCGCAACGGGACACCGTGACGGAAGCCAGAGCGCACGGAAATGCCGTTTACCTTCCCGCCACAGCGGTACCTATCTACTTGCACTGGTGTGCTTCCGAACTGCTAGGCTGGCAGGAGCTGGGACAGAGCAACGGGAGCTCACCCCTGTCACGGGGATTTGAACCACCAGCCTTCTGATCTCTATGCTAAGCATAGAGCGTGCTTGTGCGCACACACGCACACACACACAAATGTGGTACCCAGAGGGGGGGGAATGGGTACCTTTTACACAAACGGTGATGGGTGCAGAGAAACCCTGACCTTTCCACCCCATTTTCCTCCCAGAAATCCGCAGGCGGGGTTCAAAAGACCCTCTTGTCAAAGCCATCTTGCTGTTGGATGAGCCGGTGGAGGCCAAAGGAGACCCCCCTGCTGCTGCTGCTGTTGCTGCTGCTGCTACAACTACAACTATTAAGCGCCAAGGGGCCAAACCGCCACAGCTCTATGACACCCCCTACGAACCAGCGGAAGCTGGGCCCAAGCCAGAGGCCCGACTCCCGGAGAATGACGAACGGCCGCCAGCTGAGTACGAACAGCCCTGGGAGTGGAAGAAAGATCAAATCGTGAAAGCTCTCTCAGGTAAGAGACAGTGTGCGCATGCGGAGATTAGGGTTGGGAGTGGGGTGCGTTGTCTCAGGTTTATTTGCCTGGTCACCTATGGTGAGCTCAGAAATTTGTCCAGGCGACCAGGCAGAGAAGTTTAACCAGAAGCTGTTCTTCTTCCGTTCTGTTTAAGACCCAAATAACTCACGTAAGGGGACGCGGGTGGCGCTGTGGGTTAAACCACAGAGCCTAGGACTTGCTGATCACAAGTTGGCGGTTTGAATCCCCGCAACGGGGTGAGCTCTGGTTGCTCGGTCCCTGCTCCTGCCAACCTAGCAGTTCGAAAGCACCTCAAAGTGCAAGTAGATAAATAGGTACTGCTCCGGCGGGAAGGTAAACGGCGCTTCCGTGCACTGCTCTGGTTCGCCAGAAGTGCCTTAGTCATACTGGCCACATGACCCGGAAGCTGTACCCCGGCTCCCTCGGCCAATAAAGGGAGATGAGTGCCGCAACCCCAGAGTCGGTCACGACTGGACCTAATGGTCAGGGGTCCCTTTACCTTTACCTAACTCACGTAAATCTATGTGTAGATGAATAAATTCCAAAAACCTACTCCAGAGGGCTGACTTTGGCACCCACCCATCAGTCGCCGGCCAATAATTATGACACCAGATGATCCACAGATTGACTACAGATGCAATTAATAATAACTTGCAAGTCGCTGGCAGCGCTGGACTCCCATTGGTGGAAGTGTGGCGCATCCGTGAAGACTCTTCCCCTTTCCTTCCAGTGCAGTTTGACGGGCCAGAGAGACCCCCAGCGTCCAAGGATGAGGCTCCAGCACAGCCGCGGCAACAGCAGCATCGCCGCCAGCGAAGCTGGCCCTCTAAGATGGTGAAGCCCATGGCAGTGGCAGAGCCAGACCCAGATGGGGACCGTGTGGATCCTTCTCTTGCCTTGGAGAAACAGCCGTAAGTATCCAGCAGCCAAAAGATAGCCTCAGCACCATAGCTGTGTATATTCTCTACCTCTGCAGGCCTCTTAGAATCTGATAGTCTGGGATGTAGTTCAACATCCCCCAGCATTCATTAAAAAAAAAAAACAAACAGAAGAAAGCAAGTTGCTAGTTCTCATTAAGTGGCACAAGATTCCTTGTGAATTTCACCAAGTCTGTCTGTCTGTGGATATTTTCCTTGCCTTCCCTTCCACCCTCCCAGCAAATGCGTTCCAAGTTCTTCCCAACTGAGGAAACAGAATAAATTCAGGAATTATGCACTGAACTTTATTTTAAAAGTCCTCCTTTTATTGTGCAGAATACACATAGTTTGGTCTTATCCTCCCTCCCCTGCTTTTACCAGCTTTTTGAAACGTTGAGATTTGGGGGGGGGGTCTCCTATGCGTGGCGTTACACAGCCCCTCCTTGGAATGCATCACCTAAATTCAGAGTCCTGAAAATCTCCCTTGTTTATTTGAAAAAACAAAACAAAAGTAAGTTTCTGTCCCCCAGAGTAGAACCAGGAGGTACATTGACAGAGTTCGCTGGTGGTTATGGAGCATGTATAAGATCTGGAGCAAAGCTTGCCCATTTATCATAGGATCTGAACAGCTCAGCTAGTAAGCAGCTGAGTGCTATGCTGTTCCTCACTGTGGACTAGAGGCTTGCTCTGATCTCATGGGACCATTTATATTCCAGGCTGGAAGCAGTATTCCATTTCCTGGCCATGGGCTGAAGGTTCTCCACCCCTGATTTAGGCAGAATCCATCTAGAACGCTGCAAGTTGAAAGATTCCTGTCTTGACCAGAGAGCTGGACTAGATGACTAAGGTCTTTTTCCAACTCTTAAGAATCTCTAGATAATCCGTGTGAGCTCCTACCTGCAGTGTGAAAAGGATGCAACTCAATGGGGTGAGGGAAGACACACAGTCAGTGCTTTAACTCCACTGTTTTTGGGGTATTATTATTTTTTAAACCCAGCCTGCAATAAAAGCCACCTTAGTGTTTTATAAACTGATAAACCCCAGGCAGAGAGCAAAATGAATTGGGGAGGGTTTTGTTCTTCCTTCTTTCTCCAAACACGGAGGCGCAGGTCCATCTCATGAATAGGCTGATTGGCAGGCAGCTTTCAAGGACGGAGAAGGGGAAAGCTTTTCATGAGAAAGCATAATGAACCTGCGAAGTTAATTGCCATGGGATGTTGCTATGGCGACTTAGGATAAGTAGCGCTTTAAAAAGAGCAAGGTTGGGGGGGGCAGTTTTGGAAAAATCCATGATAGATAGGGTTATCGACGGCTTTCCACTGAAAGCGAAGCCTCCATGTTTAAAAGCAGTATACCTGGGGCACCCGGGAACGCAGTCCCAACATTGCCTGATCACTTATGGCGAGTTAAGAAATTTGTCCAGGCGACAAGGCAGAGAAGTTTGATAAGAAGCAGGTTCCTCTTCCCTTCTTGTTTATTTTAAGACCCAAAAAACTAATGCAAATATATGTGTGGATCAGGCATCCCCAAACTTGGCCCTCCAGCTGTTTTGGGACTACAATTCCCATCATTCCTGACCACTGGTCCTGTTAGCTAGGGATGATGGGAATTGTAGTCCCAAAACAGCTGGAGGGCTGAGTTTGGGGATGCCTGGTGTGGATGAATAACTTCCATAAACTTATGGACATTCCGGCACCAGGCATTATTCTGGTGAGCACTGACTGTTTTCAAGCGCCTGAATGGGGAGCCCGGTGCCCACTGGGTGCTCTTGAACTAGAACTCCCATCATCCCTGGCCATTAGGCCATGCTGGCTGGGGCTGATGGGAGATGAGAATGCAAAAACAGCATCAGGCCAGCGGCCCACCTGGGCAAGCAGCAGGGCTTGTGCCAGCGGCGAGGAGATCCCCTTTGGGCTCTGGGAAGGGTCTCCTTGTGAGTAGGAGGTGCAGCTTGGCTTTGCTCAGGCTGCTGAGAGGCCCTGGGGTGAGTTATTGCAGTTTTCAGAAGCAGGGGGCCCATGGCTTGGCTTTTGAAAAAACGGGGTCTGTAGTACTTTGCTAACTGCGAACCACTGCTCTGTGGTAAGCAAAGCCCTGCTGGATCAGGCCAGAGGCCTGTTCAGTTCGGCATCCTGATCTTTCATGAGCAGATCATAGATTCATAGAATTGGAACGGACCACGAGAAACACCTGGTATATCTTGGTTCCCGAATAGCTTAGCTCCCAAACAAATTGGCTCCTGAATGTCGCAAACCCGGAAGTAAGTGTCCTGGTTTGCGAACGCTTTTTGGAAGCCAATGTCAGCATTGTTTGGGGGGGGGCAATCAGCCAATCAGAAGCTGTGTCCTTGGTTTGCGAACATTTTGGAAGTCGAACGGACTTCCGGAACAGATTACGTTTGAGAACCAAGGTACGACTGTACCATTTTCAGTCTCTCCGACAGTCGGCACGTCCAGAACGGATTGAGTTTGGGAACCAACCTCTTGCAATGCAGGAATCTTTCGCCCAGTGTGAGACTCAAACCCACAGCCCTGCGATTAGGAGTCGCCTGCTCTACCAACTGAGCTGACAATAGCCCACTAGGTGCCCACGAGCTCTCGGTCTCTCCCCTCCTGAGGTTTCCATCAACTGGTATTCAGAAGCACCGCTGAAGCTGACCCTTCTCCTTTCCCTGCAGCTGGTTTCATGGCGCCATCACTCGAACCGAGGCGGAGAGCCGGCTGCAGCCATGCCGGGAAGCCGGCTACCTGGTCCGCACCAGCGAGACAGCGACCAGCAAGTACTCCATCGCCCTCAAGTGAGTGCCCGTTCTCCGAGGCAGGAGGGCTGGATGGGGGCAAAGTGGACTCTGATCTGAAGTCGACTCACTCCCAGATCTCCCATGCCAAGCCATTGGGTCAGTGTTGTCAGCCCAGGCCAGCAGCATTCCTCTCTGCCTCCTTGGGGATGCCAGGAATCGAACCTGGGACCTTCTGCGCGCAAGGCAGATGCTCTACCACTGAGCTATAGCCCTTCCCTTGAATATAATAAGGTTCTAGTCCTCATGCTTCTGAACAAAGGGTTAGTTTAAAGAGGGACTTAGGAACCGGCCTCATCCCGCTGGCTCAGTGTTGTCTACACTGACTGGCAGTAGCTCTGCAGGGTTTAAAAATGGAGGGGCATTCCCAGCCCTACCTGGAGACGACGGGGATCTAACCTGTGACCTTCTGCATGCAGGGCAGGTGTCCTGAACCACTGATCGATGGCTGCCTCTAGTTAACGCACCACCATTGTCCAAATTTGTCCAAATGGGACAAATGGGACGCGGGTGGCGCTGTGGGTAAAAGCCTCAGCGCCTAGGGCTTGCCGATCGAAAGGTCGGCGGTTCGAATCCCCGCGGCGGGGTGCGCTCCCGTCGTTCGGTCCCAGCGCCTGCCAACCTAGCAGTTGGAAAGCACCCCTAAGTGCAAGTAGATAAATAGGGACCGCTTACTAGCGGGAAGGCAAACGGCGTTTCTGTGTGCTGCACTGGCTCGCCAGATGCAGCTTGTCACGCTGGCCACGTGACCCGGAAGTGTCTCCGGACAGCGCTGGCTCCCGGCCTCTTGAGTGAGATGGGCGCACAACCCCAGAGTCTGGCAAGACTGGCCCATACGGGCAGGGGTACCTTTACCTTTTTATCTGTCCAAATAGCCACAGCCACGCTCCCTTGCATTTTGCGAGAAAATTGAGAGAGGGGAACCTGAGATGGGAGCGTGGGCTGCAGGACCAAGGAGGGAAAGGAGATCCATTCAACCACCCCTGCCTCGTTCTCTACCCTGCCCACCCAGTTTCCCGGAATCCTTTCGCCTTTCTGACCTTGCTTGTGTGGCTCTGCCGCCCCCCTTTCCAGCACTGGCTCCTCAACGGAGGATCGCTGGCCGGGTGCGGCCCACACTTCCTTCCTCAGGATGCTCAGCCCCTGGATTGGAAACAATCGGAGCTGGGAAGGGAGGGGGATTTGAAAAGAGAGGGCGAGGGGGGAAAATGTTGGGTTGTGGCAGGGGAGGGCTAAGGCATCGAGAAGCAGGCAAGGGACCTGGAAGGGACCCCCTGGCACCGGGTCTCCTGGGGGTCCTGAGCCCCTTTGCATTTCCTGACTCCGTTCCGTAAAAAGAAAAGGCCTTCCCCCCCTTTTTTTTATACTTTGCTGAATGCTGAGATGGGACCCTGCCATCCTGCTGGACCCTAATTCCCATCATCCCTGACCTTTGGCCACGTTGGCTGGGAGCTGATGGGAGCTGGAGCTCCAAGAGCCACTCTGAGCCCGGCTTTGGCTGGGGAGGGCGGGATATAAATAAATAAATAAAAATTTATTATTATTATTATTATTATAAGAACGTTGATGAACTACAACTCCCTTCATCCCAGTGATTCTGTGTTCTGGATCCGGGCCTCACCTGCAGCCACTTTTTTATTGGCTTGGTTTGTTCCTTCAAAAGAAAAGGGGTCCATATTGGCACACATCAGAATTTATTTATTTTTTCCCAACCCTTTTATTGTAAGAAGTCAATAATATTCCCAAACGACCTACACAACCATCCACAGGAGGCAGGATGATGTCAAATCCCAGGTATAGGAGAGGAATACACACACACACACACACACACACACACCATATTTATTCAAATGTAATGTGCACCTTTTTTTGGCCAAATTACATTGCGAATATTCTGGTGCTGACGTAGCAAATACTTTTTTGGGGTCTTAAGGTTTTAAAAACTGAGGTGCGCATTAGATTCGTTGACGCATTGTGTAAATATGGTATATATATCCCGCCTTTTCCATTGATGGGACTCAGCTTACATACACAGTTGCACCTTGGTTCTCAAACACCTTGGTACTCATACGTTTTGGCTCCCAAACGCCAAAAATCCGGAAGTAAGTGTTCCGGTTTACAAATGTTTTTCGGAAGCCGAACGTCTGATGCGACGTCTTGCTTGAGTGCAGGAAGCTCCTGCAGCCAATCGGAAGCCGCACCTTGGTTTTTGAACATTTCAGAAGTCGAACGGACTTCGGGAACAGATTACATTTGAGAACCAAGGTATGGCTGTATCATTTTCAGTCTCTCTGGCAGTCAGCACGTTTCCTTTTTAAAGTGCGAATACAGTGGTATCTCTGCATGCGAACAGGATCCGTTCTGGGGCCCCATTCACATCCAGAGCAGAACGCAACCTGCATCTGCGCATGTGCGGGTCACAATTCGCCGCTTCTGCGCATGCACGTGACGTCATTGCGCGAGCAGCAAAACCCAGAAGTAATAGGTTCCATTACTTCCGGGTCACCGTGGAGTGCAACCTGAAAACGCTCAACCTGAAGCGACTTTAACCCGAGGGATGACTATAATAGGACGTGGGTGGTGCTGTGGGTTATACCACAGAGCCTAGGACTTGCCGATCAGAAGGTCGGCGGTTCGAATCCCCGCAACGGGGTGAGCTCCCGTTGCTCGGTCCCTGCTCCTGCCAACCTAGCAGTTCAAAAGTACGAAGTGCAAGTAGATAAATAGGTACCGCTCCAGCGGGAAGGTAAACAGCGTTTCCGTGCGCTGCTCTGGTTCGCCAGAAGTGGCTTAGTCATGCTGGCCACATGACCCGGAAGCTGTACACCGGCTCCCTCGGCCAATAAAGCGAGATGAGCGCCGCAACCCCAGAGTCGGTCATGACTGGACCTAATGGTCAAGGTCCCTTTACCTTTACTTTATGACTGTAATGTGAATAAATCAAGTGGGCTGGGAGTTTCAACTTGGAGGGGCACTAAGCCACAGGTGCCTTTGCACCCAGCAGGAAGGACTGAGAGGGGAGCGGGGAATGCAAGCATCCCGTTCACACACACCCAATTTTGTCCCCCTCCACACCCAGGACCAGCCAAGGATGCGTCCACATCATCGTGGCCCAGACCAAGGATCACAAGTACACACTCGACCAGTCCAGCGGCCTCTTTGACAGCGTCCCCGAGGTGGTGTGCTATTACTCCAGCGAGAAGCTGCCTTTCAAAGTGGCTGAGCATATGATGCTGCGCTACCCGGTCGCTACACCGAGCAAGACCCACTAGCGCCCCCCCCTGACCCCCCCATCCCCATGTACGCACACCTGGAATCAGAACTGGGATCTGACTGGAGAAACGCTGAACTGGGGAAGGTATACCTTTACGCTCGTGAAACAGCCATGGATCAGCAGCGGATCTTCCCCGCATTCTACCCCTCTCTGCTCATGGACTCCCTCCCCCCCCACTTCCCTCCCCCCAAGATCTCTGGGATCAGGACCCTCTGTTTCTCGTGGATCGGCCCTCCCTCCTTTCCTTCTGCACTGTAATTTATGTATAAATAAATTCATTCTGCCACAGGGCTGGGGGAAACAGTGGCCTTCCTGATGTGGTTGGACTCCCAGCCGGTGTGGCTGATAGGGCCTGGAGGAACCATAGAGTTGGAAGGGATCCTCACGATCACTTGGTTCACATTCCTGCGATGCAGGATTATGCAGCTGTCCCGTACGGGAATCGAACCCACAACCTTGGCGTTATCAGCCCCATGCTCTTAACCAGCCGAGCTATCCAGGAGGATGGGAGTTGAAGTCCAGTAGTTCCCCACTGGTTTCCCACCCCTAATCTAGTGTGACCGATCTGCTGTGCAGATGAAAGGGTGTGGCGGCAGCAGTGCTGACCCCCGGGGGCCCCCATTAAGTTCTATTGGATGTTATAAGGATCTGAGATTCTGTGGGGAGGGGAGAGAATCTTCTCGTCTCAGATTCTGTGGTCGACAGGGACAGGAGGGAGCTTAGGACCCCTGCGCCCCCCCCCAATATTATCCACAGTGATCCTCTTTTGCTTTCTCCCATATGAATGAATGGTTACCGTTCATTTCCACAGAGGGAAGACACACTCACAGCCATATGGGAGGAATTTAGTGCATCGTAATCTAGACCGGTGGGACGTGGGTGGTGCTGTGGGTTGAACCACAGAGCCTAGGACTTGCCGATCAGAAGGTCGGTGGTTCGAATCCCCGCGACGGGGTGAGCTCCCGTTGCTCAGTCCCTGCTCCTGCCAACCTAGCAGTTCAAAAGCACCTCAAAGTGCAAGTAGATAAATAGGTACCGCTCCGGCGGGAAGGTAACCGGTGTTTCCGTGCGCTGCTCTGGTTTGCCAGAAGCGGCTTAGTCATGCTGGCCACATGACCCGGAAGCTGTACCCCGGCTCCCTCGGCCAATAAAGTGAGATGAGCGCCGCAACCCCAGAGTCGGTCACGACTGGACCTAATGGTCAGGGGTCCCTTTACCTTTAATCCAGACCGGTGCCATCCTCCAAGAAGGGGATGCTGGGCTAAGATGGGCAACTGGTCTGATCCTGCTTTTAAGTTCTTAGGGCCTGGGGTCATGTGCCCCTTCCTCAGTGTTTTATGGATCTGATTACCAAATATCAACACAGCCCACAGGGTTGTTGTGAGGGGGAAACAGGGAGGGGGAAACACTTGTATGTGGCCACCTTGAGCTCCTTGAAGAAAAGATGGGCTAGAAATCTAATAAACAAACAAACCAATTCTAGTTTTGTCCCCATCTTCCAGTGTGGTGTAGTGGTTAAGAACGGTAGTCTCGTAATCTGGTGAACCGGGTTCGCTTCCCTGTTCCTCCACCTGCAGCTGCTGGGTGACCTTGGGCCAGTCACACTTCTCTGAAGTCTCTCAGCCCCACTCACCTCACAGCGTGTTTGTTGTGGGGGAGGAAGGGAAAGGAGAATGTTAGCCGCTTTGAGACTCCTTAAAGGGAGTGAAAGGCGGGATATCAAATCCAAACTCTTCTTCTTCTCCCCGGTGAGTTCTGTGGGCAGACCGAAGCTTGTGGGGCAGGGTCTGTTTTTTTGCCCTTGTGAGTGAAACCTCTGGCTGGTTTATTGGCCGTGCTTGTGGCTTTCAAGACGGCAGATCGGCTACTCGCAACCCCCCACTCCACGAGGGTGACGACCGTCTGGAAATCTCGTCTGGGGACACTTTCGCCTTGACCGCAG